TTCTCTTGAAACACTCCCTCCGTTCATTGTTCACCTTCAAAACTCGACATTCCTTTACGACATGCCATTTTCATTTCGTCATTCATGCTAAATCAATTCTAAATATGTCCTATATGTCTCCCACAATGATAAAGTACCATCTTGTCAACTATCAACATCATTCACCTGATGATGACTAGTTCACAACCTCGGTGTCACCAATCAACATGATTCAATTTGTTGGTATTGAAAACTATTCAGCGAGATTTATATTCGTACTTACGAGTGAGATTGTTTATGAAATGAATTAACAAATATTTCGTTAAAATCTATGCCTGATTCTCATAACCAGTTAGTTCATAGTGTTTTCTCCGCATGACTGCGCTGAAGAGAAATATGCGTGTTGGTTAAGAGGATGAGGAAGAAGTTAACAGGGAAAGTTGATGGTAGTATGGAAGGAAGCGGTGTGATTCAATCGAACGAATTTTATCGTTTGAGTACTATTCACTTTTTGTGTCTTTGTTACAACACACTCAGAGATGAGGTGATTGTGCACAATAGAGAATGGTCGTTGTTCATTCACATGAAACATTCTCAATTTGAGTTATTTTCGAGTAAATTATTAGTGCTCTTAGTATCGTTTCTAAATTAGTAGTATTGTCATTGAAGTTGTGTTTACTATAGTAATGGTATTGATAGTATTATTATGTCTTTTATTATTACATTATCGCTGCTATTNCCGTAGCAGTCTTGCTGATTGTGAATAATCAATTGTTCAGTGCATCTGAAAAATTGAGAGTTGTTCAAAAAGCGTTAGATGAGCACACATTAGAGCCAGTCTTAGGCTTTGGCATATTCGTACGTTTTGTTTCAAGCTTATTCATAGGTTTAAGTTGATGTGCATGCTTACGGTTGAACGCATCCGGATCAGGCTAAAAACTGCTATTAGTATTATTGATAGTCAGCTTGTGCGGTTTGCCTCTAATCAGCTGATTTCTATTGTTGTTTCATAGTATGCGATATTGTGTGATCATGCAACACTTGTAGTTTGTAGTGGATGCGTTGTTGGCTCTTGTTTGATGTTGTGACTGCTTGGTGCAGAAGCAGTGAGCACTTGGTCGTTGCCAATCATATTGCATTCTCCTCGAGTAACAAATCTAAGATTAGACCTGCACCCGAGCTTCATTGAGAAATATGGATTCCGTTTGGCATTGTTCCAAAATTTCATTCATATACTGCAGAGACTCACTCACTGCTTGTCGTCGTTCACCCAATACTACGAACATCAATCAGCTTGTTCGGATGATGTGATTTGATAGTATTTTTGATTTGGAAGTATCGCTGTTGGTTGGTTTTATGCGTGATTAGTAGTAGTATTGTCATTGAAGTTGTGATTACTATAGCAATGGTATTGATAGTATTATTATGTATTTTATTATTACATTATCGCTGCTATTATTACTGTGTTCAGTACTGAACTGATTGAAAGTCGCCTTTACTCGTACACCCGTAGCAGTCTTGCTGATTGTGAATAATCAGTTGTTCAGTGCATCTGAAAAATTGAGAGTTGTTGTTTTGAGGTATGACCGAGGTTATGGTGGGAGGTGATCGTTCGATGGAGATTACACCAAAAAACAGAGAAGTATCGTCGTCGTCTGTGAAGAGTGCTCCTCCACGATACGAAGCATTCCTGATGACCGGTGATACGATGTTCATCGTTGATCACAAGATCTCACCGAGATATGCTGAGGTAGCTTTATTCTATTATCACTTGTTTATCACCTGGTTTAGTCGTTTATCCTCTCTGTCTCTCTCCTCCATCTTCGCGTTCGCAAAGGCTGCTCTCAGTCCTCCTTTATCAAACCGCTTGTTTTTTTTTCATATTCTCTCGTTTCGAAGCTATTTTGCTGAGAGGTTCAGGGGAAGAGCTTTACTTTTTGGATGGTATTGTTTGGTGTATAAACGATAAGATTGACTTGTAGGTATGCGGCGATCAACTACCGCCATCGACGGCAGTTCGTGAAACACCAGTGCGGCCTGTTGGCGCATTCGATGATTACCCATCGAAACAGCAGAAAATGAAAACACGTCGATTCAACGCCGAATCCGCTGTGCCCGCATCTCAGTCCGATAACGGTCTCAATACTCATGCGCCTACAACTCCAGTATCATTTCACATCTTCATTTCAAATATCCACTAAATCGAACGGTTCTTGAGGCAAATTTGATGCGCACTAGATCAGTTGTAAATGGAACTAGTAAAATGTAAAGAAATGAAATTAGAGATGGCATGAGTGAGAATGACTGAAAGCTTTCAGGATAGCACCACATCACCGTTGGACGAGCAGAAATCAACGGTGACAGTGAACGCCGATGGAGGTGTTAAGGAAGAACGTGAGAACGGCTCAGATGTGACCGTCTCGAGCAGTGCCGTATCATCGCAATACTCTCTAACCTCATCCACCACCCGAAGTCCCACAATCGATCGACGCATTAATCTCTTCAATCAGTCCTCTTGCTCTACCAGCGAGCCGAACACTCCAGCCAAAGGTGCCATGCCCATCATCAATAACTTCGTTTCAACTGTCGTATGCCCTTCGCCACCTCATGGTTTATTTTTTATTTTGATTTTTCTGAGCCACATTATTGTTATAATGGTTGTAATTATTACCGATCTAATTGTCATCACCGCTTTATCTGTGATGTCACTTTGTTTTTGTCAATTTCGGTTCCGCTTAAGCTGATGTTGACATTGGCTACTATAATTCAATTCTCAAAAATACAGCAGTGCTAAGAATTGAATCGAATTACGGGAATAAAATAGTGAATTTAGAATTGGATCATAAATCTGAAATCGACAATGAAGCGTCGAGTCGTCTCGCGAAACGATTATATGCACTGGACGGTTTTCGAAAAACTGACGTCGCTGCACACCTATCGAAAACGTTCGTTCAATTTTCTTTGTTTCATTTCATTGAGGAAATATGCGATTCCATCGTGAAGATATCCAGTTTTACTTGAATGTCAGTAAGGGTATGTGGTGAGAGTTGTAATTACTGATTGGAAGCAACGCTTTTTAGAAATGAATTTGGATTGGCGGTGGCGGATGAGTATTGTGGATTATTCAATTTTTTGGGTATTCGACTGGATGTGGCAATTCGAGAATTTTTATCGCGATTCTGTTTGACTGGTGAAACGCAGCAGCGAACTCGAATCATCGAGCATTTCGCTAAACGATATCACCAGTGCAATCCAACACTTTTCACTAGTGCAGGTAGCAGCAGCTCTTTTTAGTCGCTTTTGTTGCGTTGTGTCTTCATTCCTTGTTCGATTATTCATAAAACACATTAAAAACAAACCAAAACGAGCTCGACTTCTTCACTTCATCTCGTTGCAGATGAGGTTCACGCACTCACCTGTGCGCTGTTATTGTTGAACTCGGATCTTCATGGACCGGTTGGTTTGTTTANGCAAATGATTGTAATATTTAATATTCAGCGGAGTATTGCAGTGCAGTGAACGAAAATTTTAAAAGTGGTTTAGTGACAACGATAACGAATGTTTTGGTTTTGTTCAGAATGTCGGAAGACGAATGTCAAGTCGTGAATTCATCGATAATATCAGTCAAACGGAACACACGTTTGATCGTTCACTGCTGAAAACTTTATACGGATCAATTCGTGATCAGCCTATCAAATGGGCAGAGTGAGGAAGTTTCATTGTTTTGTTTTGAGTTTCAACTAAATGTCTAGAGTTGCTCATTTAATATGATCAGCATTTAATTTAGAACAATCGATTGCTTTGGTGGTTGTGTCATGAATATTATTTCTTGTTTTGACTGGAGATAGTGTTGTTATGTACTGTTGTTATTTTGGATTTGATGATAATATATAATGGTATCATAATGCAGAGATGAGAGTGAACTGGAGAAAAGCAACGAAACGAGTGCATCGAACGGCTCGGCTTTGAATCAGCGAGAACGGGGAAGTGGCTTGCTGGATCGAAAGAAACGAAAATCTTTCACGAATAAATCGAAATCGGTTGTAGCAGACGATGATCAAATAGAATATAAGGCTGGATGGGTTGTGAGGAAATCGGTTTATGATCGTGACGGCAATAGAAGTATTGTCATTTGATTGTTTTCAATTGTCGCTTGCTTTCGAAAGTTCACAGTTCACGTGTTTGAGGAGGAATTCACTGTATAGTCGAATGAGTAAATCAAAACTGGTAATTCAGTTTCATTGCGTATGAGACGATGTTCAGAAAGCAGTTGTTGAGGTTATGAAGTTCAGTTGAGAGTACAGTTGAGCTCTTGGTACTGCGGGAGTATTTCGAAGTGCGGTTTGGCTTGTTTTTAGGGAAAAAGATAAGCGTTTTGTTTTTGAAATTGATGAAC